TTTTCTTGTTGTCAATGTCTGTCTTACCCTTCACCCGTTTTCACTGTCTTCGCCCTGAGCAAATCCTGAGCTTATCAAGCGTTCGAAAACAATACACAAACGTCAGATTTCATTCTAAAACTTTTGTTAATCTTTGTGTAAATCTTTTTTCTTGCCACGTAGGGTGCCTTTGTTTTATGAGAACGTCGCAAATCTTTATTTCCGCTTTTCACTTTTCAAACACTTTAGTAATTCGCGTTTCACAACAGGAAGCGAGCGGTGAAACAGCTGAAGACAACATCCGCGGAATTTCGCTACGAAATCATGCACAGACTTTATCAACGATGCTCTACGCTCAACGATCATCATGTTTTGATATCTTCTTCCAAACTACGTATGTGTGAGAGATTTTTCTTTCCTTCTGGCCATTCTGCTTGAAATTAACTGCACTTGCTTTGTAATAAGCTTCAATATCTTTTCTTGCGTGAAAAGATCGCATCTAACTTTGTTCTCCAGTTCATTAGTTACTAACAGAGAATATATGAGATTTCATTTCACTGCCTCTTCTCGGCCGTGATAACAATTACATCTAAAGTTTTAAGTTTACTTGATAATCACACGTAGATCACTTTTTGTATTCACCACTAAAGGATGGCGGTATGCTCTTTTTATTTTTTATCGTAATGTATGTAACAACCAAAAGGAAGCTTCAGCGACCCCATAAAGTACATATACTCTTGATCAGCGTGAAATTCTGAGTTGATTTAGCCATGTCTGTCCGTCTGTGTGGTGTTTGTTATTGGCACATACAGAAGGCTGAAATTTTTCACATATACTTTACGAAATACTCTCTCCTTTACGTGCAAAAATGGAAAAAATCGGTTATGCCCAAAAAAAAGTTACAAGCGATTAAATTTAATTTTTTTCATTTGTTATGAGGTTTTCTGCTCATTAATCATAAGGCAAACATGACAAAAAGCTTAAAACTATTTTGTGTATGTCTCAGATGAAGATGTATTACCTGCCTAAACTGAAGATGGTGGACATCGCGACCTAGTGCATTAATTTTTTCTTCATAATACCAGCGATATGGGTATCAAATAAGAGAACTTGGAGAGTATAATACGAAAAGCGTAGTGGTGGGTATGCGAGATGCGACCCCGACGTATACAATCTTCTTACTTGTTTTTTCTAAACATACGATTCAATGCAAATGTGGCCACAGCACCTTGATGGCATTTTAGAAGCAAATTGGTATTGTAAACATGTGTATTAGTCTTTTACATTTATACAATAAAACTTATCCATGCAGATCTATCTTATGCTACTTGATTATTCTTATAGAAGCTCTCGTAAGTATATTATCCAAGCATTCATTGCAATCAGCCTTAAGTATAGATATTCTGCTCATCTCTTTTAAATCAGAAGGTGAGTTATTCTATTTTCGATCTCGGACGTAATCTAACCGTCGCTTTTTCTTTATTAAAGCTACACCTTGGAGTTCGTAAGTTCAGCATATCTTTCATATTAAACAAGATACGGTACGATCGTCAACATTGCGAATACATTTGACCAAATCTAAAGACATAGTGGGGATTAGTTCTTAAGCGAGAATCAATAATATATTCTCAGGATTGCGTACCAGTCGATCTAAGCATCCAAGTTAGCTAGTACTGGAGATGCATCTCTTGCAGTGTACACTTTTAAAGTCAAATCGCATTTGAAGGAGTTCAGTATAGTTTGTCGATAAATTTTCCTCAAGCAGCCAAGTATATAGTGATCATAATTTCAATAATCGGTTCTTTCGTGATGATAAACAAACAAGCCAAACAAATGTGGGATTGGGACTAAGCAATGATATCGCCTTCGTTATGAATATTTCCCCCCCCCCAAAAAAAAAAAAACAAAGTAAGCTATTGCCTCCACTTTGAACAAAGTTGACAAAGATATCGGCGAATGGCGATATTGAAAATTGTCTATGCGTTATATTTCTCCTTTCGTGATATATAAAAGTGCGAATTTGTAAGCACTGATGGATGCAACAACTAAATCACTCTAATGCCTTCATTTTTTGCATTTTTTTTTTTTTCTCTTTTAATTTTTACTTAGAGCGCTTCGACTAATTTCTCCCGTTATGCACTTTACCTTTAATAGCATTCAAAACAACGAACAAAAAAGCGCCGAAAATATTCGAGTTTGAAATACAATATCGTCATTGCAAGCCTTATATTTATTGAATATCCATGTTATAGTTATTTTAATAAAATTGTAAAAGTATATGGAAAAAGTAATTTTTTATTTTTATGTTTTGATTTGAATTGCATCGTCTTTGTACGGTCGCGGTTAACGACGCCACTTTAGGCCTGGGTGTATACAATAAAATCGCTAAGATCCCTGTAACGGCTCCTAGCTAAAGAATTTATTTATTTTTTTGCGAACTATTAAAGTGTTTCCTAAAATGAGTTTTAATAGAGGTTTTCGACAAAAAAAAAAAAAAAAAAAAAAACGAAATTCAACTAATATCTCAGAGTGAAGCTTTGTCAACTACACAAGTCTAAGGTAATTTGGGCGCGTAGAGTCAAACTTAAGAAAACACTAAAAAAGACAATAGACAGACGTATTATGGCATACGGCAAGCGGTCACTGATTGTAAGAGAGAAGAATGTGTATAGTTCTGGTGGCCTTCTGTCAGATTCGTTACTCCGTATCAACAGTGAACGTGAAACTTTTCAGCGTCAATTTCGTTACAGAACAAGTTGTGGCTAAGCCACGAAAACCACAATTAAGAAAAAATGCCCTCTGATCTCAGGGATGTTACTCAGACCACAGTTAAAAGTCCTATGATTCTTATGATTTGATATCAAAAAAAAAAAAAAAAAAAAAAAAAGTAACGCGAAAACTGGATCCAGGCCATTTGCTTCACAGAGATAAAGGAAATTTCTCTAGCAATCAAGTCGTTTCATAGGACAAACAAGCTTGCTAGGCCTTCCCATTAATTCATCCTTGATCTGTTCACAACACACTGTCGTCGCCACTTGTCGTTCTTAATACCGCATTGCACTCTTTTGAACCAATGTACCAACGGTGGTAGTTCGCGTTGTTTTGTTGCTCTTCGTTTCGTTTTCAAGTCCAACCAATTTCATCAATACTATAGCGTTTATCCTTCCCTGTCTACGTAAAATAATTCTTGACCACACAGACGGCCTTCCTCTGTATACTTATTTATTATTTATTTTTTATATTCTATATAATAATACGAATCCTACGAATATATTTTTTATTTACACATCTATGTCAATGTATTCAATAGCTGCAGAGTTACGCGTGCTTTCGTTAACGTACAAAATAGAGCTTTTCAATTTTTACTATGTCGGTGAAACAACGATTTATGCCTATTAGGATGTTTTAAGACGCATCATTACAGAAGAGGAGACGCTTCGTTCTAGGAATACTAACCGGAAACAACCGAACAATCTGTCATCATCTACGAAGTGCTATGTATTGTTAATGAAAATAAAGTAGGGATCACAGCTAACAAGTGAGGGCAATGCATCTAACCTTTTAATTTAATTCCGATAGGTCGCGTTTGCACTTTTGCTTTCTCGCTCCTGCTCCCTGTTTCCCTGTTTTAAGCTATTCAAAGTCGATAATTAAATGAAAGCTGAAAAATTTGCTCACATTTTAGGAAATTATTCTTCAAAAGCCGCAACACGCCGTCGCGAGTTCCTAACGTCGATCAAAACAAGACTTTCATCGGTTTTGGTTGTGTTGAATCACTTTGCAAAAACCGAACATAACCTCAATTTTGAATAATTAACAATTAAGAGATAATATATCGACTATGGAAGGTCCATTCATAAGAATTTTAACTGCAATTGTGCACAATTTTCTTCTTTTTTTTTTTTTTATCTACCAGGAAGAGAAAATTTTACTCTTAAATAATTTCTGTAAAAATTTCTTGTTCATCTCATTAGGGTAAACAATGCGAATCTATGAAAAAGTGAATTAAAAAACTATTTTTTACTTTTTCAAAGAATATAAGATAGATTCTAGCTCGCCTTGTGCAGAAAATATGAATAAAAAAGAAGAAAAATGTTTCGCATTAAATGTGTGTACCAGCGAAGTCGTTCAGGAAAATCCATTTTTCAACTTGCTATTCAATATTCTTACTCCTGGAGATTGGTAAATTTTGTTAAAATTATGACAATCAAGGCACAGCGCATCGGAACAATGTGCAACGAAACTAGAAATTGCCTAAGATTGTGCTAAGATGAGATGAAAATGAGAAATTATATCAAAATTTTATCGTAGACTAACGTTTGAGTTTCTAGGAATTCGTATTCGCTAGGCTTGATAAGCCTGACAGATCATTCAGCTTTCTATTGTTTTGAATGCCGAAGGAAACTGCACGAAAACAGGGAAAGCCTTTCCTTGGGCTTTCTAAGAATTCGTATTCGAGACGTTCTAGAAGCTCATGTTGTACCATATCAGCCGCATAGATTAGCTAAGAACATCATACTAAGCTATCATACAATATTCCTTATCCTCCTCAGCCATATTTGACTGACTTCATCAAAATTATTTTTTCCGAATAACCGATTAATGAAATGCGGTAATGTAATCGTCGAACTAATACACCACCACTTACAATACTTTGATAATTATATTAAAAACGACAAAGGCATTCTATCAGATTTCAAGTGAATCACTTTTCGCTTTTTGCGACCTAACGAAATCTTTTCATTTGTTATTGTAATTAGCTTTATTTTAAAAAAATAAGCTTCAATTTGTTCAAATTGTTAAAAAAAAAATAAATAAATAAAACAACAACCATTTATTGTTTCTGTTCACTTTAATGAGTGTGCGTTTTATGAAAACCAATATATCGTCGGATGTCGTTTTCACTCATTTTGTCGATTTTGTTTTTTATAGTGAAACAAGTCGAGGTTTAATGGATTTTCGATTTAAATCTGATGGGAATTTCTTAACCGTCGGTTAATGGAAGAAAATGATTTGCTTACCCTAGTGGGAAATGGACGTTGTCCTCTTAGAGCCTCATGCAAACCGGAAGCAGCCTCCGATAGTACCACTAATGCTTGTGAAGGTAAATGACTGCCACCGAAGGCGTTACTTTCCATAATAAAAATAAACAGTAATTGTTCCAAACTAGGGAACAATGAAAACAACACATGCACAAATGGATACTCAGGCCCGCAAAAAAATATTTTCAATGGCGATTATTTATTATTCATTAACAAATCATTTGTTAAACTTTGCAAATTGCTTTTATTCCTTATTTTTTTTATTTTTTATTTTTCTTGTAATTTATTGTAGAATTTTTTTTTTTTTTTTAAATTTTTTATAATAAATTTTTAAAATATTATTTAATTTTTTTTTATTTTTTTGTTTTGTTTTGTTTTTATTTTAAATATATTTTAAGTAAGTGATTAAGTAATACATGCCTGTCTGCATGTTGTTAAGATTGAATGCATTTAATTATTATTCGCTCGTTTAAAAAAAATATATTGAACGTTAACTTGACACACTTGCCCGCTCGCTCACACTTTTCTTGTCGTTTAACACAAGCAGTTAATTAAATTTTCAATTACTTTAATCGTTGCTTCGCACTTCACTTTACAACTAACTGCTTTATACTAATTATTTTCTTGTTATTGTTGTGGTTGTAATTGTGTAATGATTAATTTTTCATAGACTCCGCTTAACAGTAACAAAGCACACCCGCACGTATGTAGCAGCAAGTCTAAACTAAAGTCACGGTAGCATACTGTTGCCAAAGTGCTTCTGTTTGTGGCACGAGGGCTTGTTATTAAGGTGTAGTTATACACATACAAATATACATGTACACTTGATGTAGACATTAGTATAAGTTCAATACATTATTCAGCATTACATACTTGCGCACAGAGCTAGCAATTTGAACACAGATGCTTTACATTGCTTGGCTGTTGGTGTTAGTAATCAGCGCCAGCGACAGCATTATGCTCTACTCTTTCGTATAACTCAGTAAAGCCCGCCTCTCTTTTTACTGTGCACGCACTTCTGATTGGTGCGCAATGAACCGGTTTACTGAATATGAAATATACATATATGTATGTATATATTATTATATATATTTATTGACATATAAATATCCTTATAACCATATATGTATATATATCGATATAGGTACATATTCTATATCTATATATATATATATATATACATACATATATATATATGGACATATCTATATTATAGATACAAATATACATATCTGCTCTGACGAGTATATAGAAAACAATATTTCTTTGCTACGTCAGGCTGGCTCGCTCACTCACACCCATTGATAGCTTGTTGCCATTTGTTTTATTATAAACCGGTAGTACATAGTTGTTGGTATTGTTGTTGCTATAACTAACAGTGTATTTTGTTTTGTACGTAGTTGCAGTTGTTGCTGCCTATATATACCTACACTCTACCAGTTAGTACTTCAGTTGACAGTTGTGACCATATGTTTCTACTGATTCTCGTTTTTCCTTCTTTTTGTTTTTTGTTTTTTTTTTTTTTTTTTGGTTTTTTTTGTTCATTTTAGCTTTTACGACTAAGTATGTGCACTGGCACTGGCACTGAGTAATTTACAATATGTTACTGGTTGCTGTCAATGTTTACGTTGTTGTTGTTGTTGTTGTTACTTTTATTCTTGTTATTTTTGTTGTTGTTATTGTAACTCTTTTGTCCTGTTCCAAAATGGTTGAACAGTTGTGTGTGTGTGTTTATTCTTTGTTTTTTTTATTTTTTTTTATGAATTCTTATTTTGTTTATATAAGCAGTCATGCATACATGCACATATATACATATTTATATATCTATATATATATATATATATATATAATATAAATATAATATATATGTAGATATATTGATGATCATGTTTATGTTCATCGCCATTCCTGTCTAGTTCTCATGTCCATAAGCAATTGTGTATGTATTCGAATCAGTTTATATTGCAGTCAATCTATTGACCGCCTGTTTGTCTGCCTGGATGTATTATTATTGCCATTTTGTTAAATTCCCAAAGTGAATACATACTAACCATCTGGTCGCAAGCTTGTCTTCGCTCTTCAAATAGACAAAATTAAATTATAAACCAAAAGATACGTTAAGCTTGCAACATATGTATACGTTTAGAAGAAACTTCTAGTGAAGATTTTTTTCAAAACATTTTTTTTTTTTTTTTTTTTCTTGGTAAAGAAATCATTTATAGCAATTGTAGTTAGTTTTCAGATCATACTTAAAATTTCATAATTATTCCTTAGTTAGACTAGTGCTCACTTCCAAATAAAGCCTTCGATATCAAAATCAAGTTAATTACAGTTAATTACAGTTAATTGACAAATCGTTTACGATTTAATGATAGCTTGCGATATCGTTATGTATGTGCAAAAGGTAAACTTTCCTAGGGCAAAGCGATAATTTTTTAAATTTTCTTGGGGAGAAACACTTTCTCTCTTTATTAAAGCGATTAGTTTCTACGCATTACCTAACAATACACGTAAGTTTAAGTTTTATAGCTTGATTTTCTCAACCTTCAAGATCATAAAGTTTATTTATAGTATAAAGAAAGTTAGTTGCTCTCTTTCCATTCGAACCTTGGAAACTTTCCGTTTTCCAAAATAAGCTGATAGTCTAAGTTCAAGTTCGTCATCGTCACGTTCATTACCATCGAATCCCAAAGAATAGGTGTTCTCAAGAGTGAGTGTCAGAGAATTGGAATATTACTTTACTAATATTACAAGCAAATAATAAATAAAATCAAATGTTATTCGTATCGAATTTGAAAATCGATTAAATTTTCAGCGCAAATCTGTAGTAAAGAAATCAATTTTAATCGAAGAGGCCGTTGTTTCCAGCACCCATCTAACGCCTTTCAATAAAATTCATTTCGGCCAACATTCCGAAAAAAACGTGATCAAATGTTAATTGGCGTAAAAGAAATGCAACAGTACGTAGACCACATTTTCGTCTTCGCTAAGAGGATGAGCTATCTTTGCACCGCTTTACGTTTTTGCTGAGATATATTTGATAAGTGTGTAAAAATCTATTATTATTAGAAATTAAACAAAATAAATGAAAAATAGATAACGTGAACATAAATAAAATAAAAAACAAAAAAAAAAATGCAATCACGCATTATACAAAAACATGAAGAAAACCCATTGTTGTTATTTATCATCATCAAGTTTGCATATAATAGACGGATCTATAAATAATCAATTATTTGTAAATCTAAAGTAAACTGTCTATTATAATAAGTCCATACTTTTATTTCTGAATTTATTTATTACTCATCACTGGCAAGGGCTATTTGTCATCTTTTCTACAAACTTTCATTCGTCCTCTTATAGAAATCCAAGGTTCATCAAGCAACTTATGATGCATGGTGCCTCCTTAATGAGGCACGTTTACGGGTTATTACTGCGGTTTGATTTACAGAAATCCATCGCAATCTGGATAACAGTCAGGTGTAAATTGATTAACGAATATTCTTCTTCTAGTCTCAGATAGGTGATACGGTATCCACACATTGTTTGCCTATATGCCTTCACATACGAACCCAAGAATTCTCGATAAGTCTTGTACGCTTACTTTTCGATCAGCTTCTACTGGAGATTTTACAATGTCGTTATCAAATTCAGCTCGTCGCTCACTTCGCAGCCAATCAGAGAAATAATAATCATCGAAGGCAAACCTTCTGAGCCAATTTTGTTGTTATCACCATTGCATTAAATCCCACATGAATATGAAAACGTATGTAATGCGACGGATATGATCCTCGGAAAGTAAAAACGCCGCCGTTTTATTAGAGGATTGTAAAAAAAACACAAAAAATTTTACTTATTAGAATATCTGTTGCCTCTTTAACGATCGATGCCGAACTAAAGGCAATATAAGTTCATTACAAACAATTGATTAGCGATGGGAATCCTTAATGAGGCAGAGTTCGAGGAAAAATAAAATATGTATAATACATTATAGAAAAGTAAAAAGACTACAGTCGGGCATGGCCCACTATTCAATAGCCTACACAACTTCGCTTAATGCATTCATACATTTGCATTTCATTTCAATTGCATTTTCAATACCGTTCATCGTTGGACTAAAAAACATCTCGGTGCACCAAAATTTAACAAAATATCTCGAAAATTGGAAACCTGTAGGTTGAACGCAAGAAACCAAGGCAGAGAGATGGACAGACAAGCTTAGATTTATTGCGAAAGTGATCGTGAAAAGATCGGTTTAATGATAGAAGGGCTTATCCCAAGTCATTCTGGGTATATTGCATACATCCGCACAAACTTAATATGCCCATGTACCACAAGTGGTGTAAGGTATACAACTTTTGGGGCAAATGAGCAGATTACAGAATTTCAAAACTAAAGGACCTTAAGAAAGTTTAATTTCATTATAGCGTAGTGTGGCTATAAACAATTTTCAAGATATAATGCCTGTTAAGGTTTTGGGTATTTCTTAAAGGACGATGCGTGCACCGCTTGTGGTATAGGGTTTATTAAGTTAGAGTGGACGTATGTAACACGCAGAAAGACCCGCCCTTTACTATAGCGATCGATTCACAATCTTAATCTGAATTGGTCCAAGTCTGTCTGTCCGTCTGTCCGTCTGTCCGTCTGTCCGTCTGTTATCTGTCCACGTAAATGTTCAAGCTGGAGTATAATAAGAAAATAATAAAAAAAATTTGCGGTATTTTTCTGAGCGTTTTTGTAATAAGGTCTTTACATAGGACTCTTTCAGCAAGTGCGCGCCAGTACTGCACTATATATCCGATAGTGATAAATTAGTCTTTTGGTCTTCATGATTATAAAGTTGAGTGCACCAAATTGTGCTTTTTACCAAGGACAAAAATCCATAGAAATGCGAGCTTTGGAGAATGCTTCTTCTGATGTACTAGGGAACCAGGGAACAAAAAAAGATTACACAGAAAACCTTATTATGTTAATGGAATGCACTGCGCTTCTAATCGATTGTCAGCTTAAATTGTGAATAATACATAATCGCAGCTAACGTTTTGTTGTGGCTAATCATAATTTTTCTTTAGCTGAAATGAAAATCGATCTTTTTGGTTGTGTGAAGAAAATGCATAATAGCTTGGAGTTTGAAGTCTTAAGCATTCATTGACTTTTTCAATATACAATTAATAGTGTGATTGTTAAGGATTAAGAAGGTAACCCTTTACATTATTAGGATAATCTGGGTGGGTGCTTTGAGGAGAATGAGAGAGAGAGAGAGAAAGAGAGAGAGAGGGAGAGAAAGAGAGAAGTTG